AGCGCGTATTATCTGTTGACAACATCACCACCTAACATGTAGCGGAGAGAACGTAGCTTATTCAACATTTAAATAATAGTTATTATTTAACGCAGTACCCCGTCACTTGATTCTTTTTAAAGAAAAGTTTTCTTAAGCTAATAACTCCACTGAAACCAAGTTTCAAACTTTAAGTGACAACTTTCAGGCTTTAAAGTTAATCCGTTAAGATGAACTCCCGCCGGAACTTAACAGCTTATATTTTTCCGAGCGTATTGTGATCGACGTTAGCCTTCAGGCGCTAATTATATTGAAAAGGATATCTTCTACCAATGTAATTTGTATCGTGTTTCCGGCGACTGTACTCGAGCGACTTCAGCATGCTTAGTAGCGACTACGATGTGACCATAAGTTGAGAATATCCATCATTTCAATTTGAACTTTAAACAAAAAAACACAGAACATTAGTTGCTACTGTCTGTTTTCAGCGGATGTACGCTTGGAAGATAATCCTCGGAGTAAAAGGTCGTAAGTGGCGGAATATCCTTTTGTGGTTAAGTGATAAGGGTGAATTGGTGTTTGTGTCCTTTTTATATGGGTAGATGGCTGTGATGTGGGCGGTATCGATCGATGCGCAACTCTAGCTTTAGCGAGAGTAGTAAACAGAACTTCACTTCGCACCGAAGCAGCCGACAAGATGCACGCAATCCGGGTGATCGTCATGGTCCTGACAGCGTGGAATGTAGCTGAATATTATGGTGAGTTTTTATTATTATTTTTTTTTTATTTGTACCTTTGTTTTCTGTCGCGTTTATACTTTTGCGAATTTTAGAAGAAGCCGTGCGATTATTTTTGCGTGTTAATTTTTCGGGAAAGTAGTTTGTGCTCGCAACAGTTCGCGTGTGACACCTGTTACTCAGCGCAACATTTGTAAATTGCCGCCCTTATGCAGTGCTTTTCTTGTTTTTAAACATGTTTCTGTCGTAGCGTTTATTTTTTTATAAATTATAAATTAATGATGTCGCGTATTTCGTGATATTCATTAATTTGCGTTGTTTAATATGTTGAAATCGGAAAAAACTTTCAAACAAAATTCGAAATTATCAAAATATAAAAAAATTCTCTTATTTTTACAAAATTATTAAAAACGGAAAAAAATAAAAAACAACGAAAAAAAATTAAATTACATTAATCGAATCGAAAGCACTTTTTTTTAAAAAAAAAGGAAAAATAGAAAAAAATTATACATATTCGGACTAACAGAAACATTTTAAATGTGTAAAAAAAGAATTATTCTTCAACACGCTCTTGTTACGACGGCCTTCATTAATTTTTCATTAATCAAGATATTTTAACGTAAGTCGAAATTTTAATAAAAAAAATCTTATTTTTAATTTTTTTTTATTATTATTTTTATGCGTCTCGCGAACTATTACACAGTATTTTTTATTATTTATTATTTCTTTACTATTTTAATGTACCTAAATAAATATATAAATTATCAATTAATGAAATGCTGTGCGCATTGTTAACCAAAGTTCTAAAAAAAATATTATAAATATATCAACCACGGATCGCGCGTAACAATTTAAAAAATAACAAAAAAAAAAGATTTGAGTCTACACATATTGAAAGAATAAAATAAACCTTGTCTCTTTATTCCAAGCGTAGAAAAAAGATAGTTTTTTGATGCTACTCAAGTAGTTTATAAAATTAAAAGTTATCCCTCTGTTAACTAACTTAGATTGTCGGATCAAACGTCGATAGTTTGTCAATGAAGCGGCGCTCTATAAAAGTTGCCTCAACTAGCGCGGCAACTGGACAAATTGTTTTAATAAAGTTATACTGGAACGATATCGGTATGACTAGACATACAGAATGATTGAAATGATCGGTCGGTTACGAAAATAAAAAAAATACAAAAATGTATTGTAAAATGATAAAAAAAATATTTATTACTCTTGAGAGTATAAAAAAAATTACGATAAAAAAGAGCGGTCAACAAATGAACACAATATTTTGATTTTTTATAATCATATTACGAACAAACTTTTTGGACACCGGTGCACCAAGGCTCCACGCGAAGGATTCTGACAAAAAAAAACTATGTCTATAAAAATGTTTTTCATTGTTAATAAAATTTTATGAAATGTGGTTTTATTTTATCTCTTTATTTTCACAAATGCTTTTTTGGAGCATGTGTTTCAAATTGAAACGCATATTCCAAAACAACTAATAAAAATGCACGCGGTGGGGAAGACATTGCGACGAATAAAACCAAGGATATTGCGTACTTGTAATACGCAGCTGAAGTTGATTCCGATGTCTTTTTTTTGATTATGATGCTGCGACCGTGAATCAACTGTCGTATTAACAACTTTATTATTCTCTCTTTTGTTTTGCAATGAGTATTAGGGAGACAGAAGTACGTTTCATATATACTTACGACAATCGGAACACGTGAAAAAACATATCGTCCGTCACTGTATTCAAATTGACAGATTATAAATCGTTTTTGTCTGCAAAACAAATTATTATTCGACCTCTTTTGATTCTATTTGTCAAGAATTGTATTTGTAATGTATTTTTCCGGTTTGAAATCATTACAATATTTGAACATAAAAAAAAAATCTACTCAAAATTCCACCGAAGTGTACGTAAGTCACACGAAAGTCCAGATAATAAAATGTTAAATGATATCTACAAAACGTAATACCGAAATATCTATAACAAGTTTGCTCAAAAGTAAATTAATATAACAAGCATGAAACAGTACTTAATTTTACATTGCAACTATTATTTTATTTATTCTTATTGAAAACAAAATATGTAATTTACCTTCTTAAAAAAATTGTAAAAAATGTATATTCTTTAGGAGTATTTATTAGACATAGCAACTGTTATCGAATAGATTTAATGTTAACATTCAAAATGTTTATTTCATCGATCGAAATTGTAATACGTTATTTCATTAAATATTTATCTGCTACTAAATATTCTATTACTGTGTGCTAAGCTTTTTATAAAGAACTGCGCACGATTTCACAAGTATAGTACACGTGAACATTTCTATTCCAACGTATACAGTGCTATTTGATAACCATAGTCACATTTCAAATCATTTAAAAAACTAATTTACATACGAAATTATTTTTCTTGTTTATTTAGATCCTTTTATTTATATTCTATTATTGTATCCAAAAGTATTCATACGTTTCCTAACTGTTCAGTGTATATGCATATAAAAATTGTCAGTTGTGCTGTCGGTACACCGTTTAACAAACGAAGTCTCGGTCGAAAGCTAGTATGTTCTTAAAAATTGTAAACATTGCATGCGGCAAAAGTGAAAAAAAAACGTGCAGCTGATTAAATTGACTTTGGCCTTTGGTTATTGCAATTCTCAAGTTGACGGCGCGGCGGCGTCGAGATGAAATCGCTATTGCGACGTACAGATTCCTTATAAATTAAATTGTTCCAGAGCAAACTTGTACGATTGAACGTTTACTTTGAACGATTGATGATTAACCTTGCCGTCGCACGTATTTTCTTTTTACGTTTTGTTTGCTTTGTAAAGGTTGTAACATTAATCAGTTTATAACTTTCTATATTTAACAAATTTCTATATTTAAACTCAAAAGTCACTCATGTTCGATAAGTAGCTTTTGTAATGCGTACGTGCAAACAAACACAACTTTTATCTTTTTTATATGAGTGTTGATTTTAGTACTCCGACTGGTATTCTGATTCACTTAACCGTACACATCCACTGCTATGCTTCTGTTGAAAAAAATCTTAGTAAACAATATGTTTTTGCGTGGTTAATTCGTCAGTAAAAGTTCACTTTAATTTAAACCTGTCTGGGTGGCGAATCAACAACTGTTATGCAATAGTTGCCACTGTTGTTGTTGAATTATCATAAAGTACTTCGCGTATAAATAGACTTGTATATAATGTTGAATTCTGATTGAAGTAATTTCGATAGTTGTTATTGCGAACAAAGTAATTTCCTATCAACCATCCTGGGAATTAGAACCGTATGTACCAAACACAAATGCAATCGGATTCCAGCCTTGAATTTACAATTCCAAACTCACGTACAAAGTAATAACATTGTTATCTTAGTATTTATTTAACAAAATGTGATGGATGATGACATGTTTTTATAGCAGACTTTCTGCACTTGTTATGCAGCTTTGTTTATTTAAAGGACCTGACAAAGATAAGGTGATTTGTGGGGTACAATAACTTCGTGTTTACAATAACGTGTTGAATACTTCTAGAAGCTTCCAAATGACTAACAGATTAATTTATTTTAATACGCAGTTCGATACGAAATGAATCACTTGCCGTTGTTAACTTGTAGCGCATCGCATAAATTTCCACTCAACAATTCTCAAACTTTCTTCGAAGTCTCTTTATAATGTACTTATTGTTGACGAGAACGCTACGTAGTTTTACCTTTGTTGTATACACTAAGGTAGCGAAACTTTTTGATGATAAAGTATTATGCAGTACAATTCCTATAAGCAGCTTAGAGATACAGGGTGACCGGGTAAAATGTGTACAACGCAGTACCATACATTCATTGGTCGAAATATGAAGACTTATCTAAACATATTTCTATCCAAAGTTTCGTAGTTTAGGCGCTAGAGGTCCTCAAAGTTTTAAAATTATTTGATATTAATTAAAAATCTTTTACAGATTTTGCAAATAAGACTACAGATATTAGTAGATTTTAATTAATTGTTTTTTTTATATAATGTCATTCAAGATCTGGTTACAAAAACTGGACTTGTTTAATATACGTTTAAATTCAAACCTTGGGATGAGACTTAACAAGGTTATATCTCAGTTGCCCGGGAGCTGCTTACGTCATTGGATACTTTTTAATTAAACATAAAGCATTCTAATCAATAGTTTTTGAAATTTAATGGCTTTTAAAAAAGTTCTAATGTTTATTTAAAACTGTTAACTTAATTAACGTAAAAGTATTATAGAAGAAATTAGAAAAAGATTAGAAAAAATTCAAATAAATACTAATACTTTTCTAATAGTATTCACCTTTAGATAGTTGTTTACATTTTAGCTGGCGACTATCAAAGTACATTATTCATAAATAAAGCTTTTGTCTTTTAATTTACGGAAAAGTACAATAATTTATTTGCGCACTTAAATTATTTTGACAACAAACCATATCCTTGACCTTTAACTAGACATAACAAAGAACGACGACGCGCCGGCGCATGGAAAAACCTTAAGTAGCAATTATCATGGCATTTAAACGTAAACAACCCTTTGGATGTCACTGGAAATGTACACCGAATTATTAATACGTTGTATAGCGCATAAATATCAATATAACACGTGTTTTAAATTAATAAAAAAAAAGCAATTGCGTCTAAAAGCCAAGGACGCCGACGACATGTGCATGCACGCACTTGACATTCAATGATGCGTGTTGCATTCTTGTTTCCAATGTGTACGGAAGCGATGGATTTCGGAAATTTTTCAAAGCGGCAACCATTATTGATTTGATATGAAATGAATTTTCATAGAAACATCTGACTAACGTTGAAATGGAAAAACTGAAGTTTGATAATAAAAAAAAAAGTTTTTGTATGTTTAAGACACAAACCTACTATGGCGTCTTTATAGTACGAGTAGCTTTATCAAAATCTATTTATAGATAAAAAAAATATAAGACAGTGCATAACTTATAAAAGTTTGTAAGGAACCGTGTAGCCTGTAGGACAATGAGGAACTAATAATTAGGTTGGAGAGTGATGTTCAGTACTACTTTCGAAAAAATAGAAATTTTCCTGTTAATAATAAAAGCTCAAAGGTCAGCCGGATAATGGATAATTTAAAATAACTTAGTTTTCTATTATTAGAAGCTTTTACATTTTAAAACATAATACAATTTTTTTATATTACTCCCCTGCAATCTTATTTTTCAAGTTATAAATGCGAATGCTTAGATGATTGTTGGATGGATGGATGTTTGTTAGAAGGCATCTCGACAACGGCTCAACGGATCTTGATGAAATTTGGGATAGATGTAGAACATAGTCTGAAAGAACACATAGGTAACTTATTTAGTTGTTTTTTTACTCCGCGCTGACGGAGTCGCGGGCGACAGCTAGTCATGTCATAAATGCGAATGTTTGGATGTTTGTTAGTAAGTATCTCTAGAACGGCTGCATGGATCTCGATGATATTTGGCATAGTTGTAGATAATAGTATGGAAGAATACATAGGCTACTAATTAAGTTTTTTTGCTCGCGTGCGACAAATAGTATTATTATATTTCTATTACTTTTATATTTATAAAATAATAGCCTTTTTTAATAATTTTGAATTTCATATAGTGACGTTTCATTAAATTAATGGCACAATAGTTTTTTTTGGAAAAAATGTGTTATATCGGAATAATTCAGAAGCTCGGTAATGACAGGCAACAACTTAAAATATTCAAATAGTTGACGGTTGTATACCTAAGCGTCTATACTCTAGCATAGTTAAGGAGTTCATAGTTGTTGGAACGTGTGCCCTAAGTGCTAGTATGCGATAACTTGACTATAACATGCAATAAAATACTTTACAAGTTATCGACGGTATTCAAACTCTATAACTATCGCTCAACTACCGCTAAATATGTCACGTCGATTAGAAAATTAGTTTAACATTCGAATTATCTCTAAAATATATAATGTTTTTCTAATTCTTTTGCAATCCTTACATCGGTGATTGAACTAAATTAATTAAAAATTTAAATTAAAATTGCCAAATATCAAATCAAAATGTAATCATGATAATATTATTATTTAATTATAATTTATAAATATTAGAATGGAGTCTGATTGCTAAGTTTGAACTGATAGTACCAATTTTAATTAATTTTACCAACTTTTAAATGGGCATCTTCGCTTTGCTTATTCACGCGATCAGCCGGGGGCGATAGCGAACTGTCATAATTTAGTTTGACTTCTATTCATCGGGTCAGACAACTTCGTCTGTCAATCTAGTGTGACAAGGATCTTGTGACATTTTTTTTAATTTAAAAAAAGAGAGTGATAGAGAGCTGACACAATTTATTTTGACTTGTTTACACCGGGTCTGAAAACTATGTCTGTCAATATAGTATGACAAGGATCTTGTGACATTTTTTTTTAATTGAATGCGAGTGATAGAGAGCTGTTTTAATTTAGTTTGACTTCTACTTATCCGGTGAGACAACTTTGTCTGTCAATCTAGTGTGACAAGGATCTTGTGACAATTTTTTTTAAATTGAAAGGGAATGATAGAGAAATGTTATAATTTAGTTTGACTTCTACTCATCGAGTCAGACAACTTTGTCTGTCAATATAGTATGACAAGGATCTTATGACATTTTTTTTTAAATTGAAAGGGAGTGCTAGAGAGCTGTTTTAATTTAGTTTGACTTATATACCGCGCGTCAGACAACTTTGTCTGTCAATATAGTATGACAAGAATTTTGTGACATTTTTTTAATTTAAAAAAAGAGAGTGATAGAGAGCTGACACAATTTATTTTGACTTGTTTACACCGGGTCTGAAAACTATGTCTGTCAATCCAGTGTGACAAGGATCTTGTGACTTTTTTTTAATTGAAAAGGAGTGATAGAGAGCTGTTATAATTTAGTTTGACTTCTACTTATCCGGTGAGACAACTTTGTCTGTCAATCTAGTGTGACAAGGATCTTGTGACATTTTTTTTTAAATTGAAAGGGAATGATAGAGAAATGTCATAATTTAGTTTGACTTCTACTCATCGGGTCAGACAACTATGTCTATCAATCTAGTGTGACAAGGATTTTGTGACATTTTTTTAATTTAAAAAAAGAGAGTGATAGAGAGCTGACACAATTTATTTTGACTTGTTTACACCGGGTCTGAAAACTATGTCTGTCAATCCAGTGTGACAAGGATCTTGTGACATTTTTTTTTTAATTGAATGCGAGTGATAGAGAGCTGTTTTAATTTAGTTTGACTTTTACTTATCCGGTGAGACAACTTTGTCTGTCAATCTAGTGTGACAAGGATCTTGTGACTTTTTTTTTAATTGAATGCGAGTGATAGAGAGCTGTTTTAATTTAGTTTGACTTCTACTTATCCGGTGAGACAACTTTGTCTGTCAATCTAGTGTGACAAGGATCTTGTGACATTTTTTTTTAAATTGAAAGGGAATGATAGAGAAATGTCATAATTTAGTTTGACTTCTATTCATCGGGTCAGACAACTATGTCTATCAATCTAGTGTGACAAGGATCTTGTGACATTTTTTAATTTAAAAAAAGAGAGTGATAGAGAGCTGACACAATTTATTTTGACTTGTTTACACCGGGTCTGAAAACTATGTCTGTCAATCCAGTGTGACAAGGATCTTGTGACTTTTTTTTTAATTGAAAAGGAGTGATAGAGAGCTGTTGTAATTTAGTTTGACTTCTACTTATCCGGTGAGACAACTTTGTCTGTCAATCTAGTGTGACAAGGATCTTGTGACTTTTTTTTTTAATTTAAAGGGAATGATAGAGAAATGTTATAATTTAGTTTGACTTCTACTCATCGAGTCAGACAACTTTGTCTGTCAATCTAGTGTGACAAGGATCTTGTGACAATTTTTTTTAAATTGAAAGGGAATGATAGAGAGCTGTTTTAATTTAGTTTGAATTCTAGTTATCGGGTCAGACAACTTTGTCTGTTAATACAGTATGACAAGGATCTTGTGACATTTTTTGTTTAAATTGAAAAGTGGTGATAGTAAGCTAATTTAGTTTGACTTATGCGCACCGGATCAGACAATTTTGTCTGTCTACATACCCAGATAGTATATAAAATGTCAAAATTAGTAATTGATTAAATAAATAAATTCTACTACTGTCTATGTTAAAATTTCAGTAAACGCAGGTAAATCAATCAGTGATTATGTTCCGTCGCAATTCAATATACATTTCTATTAAATGTAACTTGTAGGTGTAATTAAGTCGATTGAACTTAGCGGCACCGCAGCTCGCGGCTTCCTTCATTTATTAATTCAACGCAAAGTCGTTTACAAGTTTCTCTACGAACTGCAACTGAAATCGTTATAGTGTTTAAATCTTAAAGGTATTTTATATCAGAGATACATTATATCAAGATTATAGTGTATTTTTTTGGCTTTGGGCTTTAAGTCGTTAAGTGTACTTTTATGCATAAATAATAATGTTTTTGTACAAGTATTTCGGCAGTGGAAACTTACTGCTTAGCACATCTTATGCTGTTCGTTAGTTCGCGGGTGCTATCAATACGCGTATTTTTGCCGGCGTGACGTCACAACACGACACTATCGCTCCCTGATAACGAAGTGTCCCTTCGATGAACTTTGTTATTAAATAGCACAGAGTTAACGGAGCTCAATTTAAACTTTCTAAAGCAAATCAAATTGAAGAGCAAAACGAGCCAAACTAATTTTAATTATCTAAAAATCTTTCTGAATTTTAGAATAAATATCTAATTTCCTCCTATCAGTGTAAAGGTACTATAAGACTCCGAAATAAATGTCCGACATTAATGATGGTTACACTTGTTCGTACTTTTACATAGCGGCTGATGCGACACTAATTATGTTGTCACAATAAATTTTGCAATCAGGAACACTCGTGTTCAAAGAGAGACATTCTATGTATACACAGCGAGTACTGTGTAGTAGTGTAGTCGTACCATAAGTATAAGAGAAGTGTTGAAAATAGTATTATTTTATTAAGATACTATAGGATATTAACATTTTAAGATATTTCGTGATATTAATTGTGTAAATTTCTTACAGCTAAAGCGGTTCTACCATCCGATGCCGACTATGAGGACATGGCGAAGCATGCAGATGAAAACATAGCAAAACTGCGGACACTCCTGACTGCCGTGGATGTTCCGCCGGCGAGCAATGGCAGATCGACCCTGAAACCCGCTACGACGACAATTAACGCGCAACTGAACGATTGGCTGGAACACGTAAGATAACACTCATCCCACGAAAAGAGTTACATCTCATAAAATATATAATTATATAACCTTTTCGTCGGTTGAGATAAAACTTTGTACCCCGTATCCTTTTTAAAATTTCTAGCTATATTTATCTTTGATAGAGCTGCCACATGTCAAATTGGACGCCATCTCTAGTGAAGAAAAAACAAACGACTGCTACACAACCCTTGGCGCCTAGTTTTTACGAAAAGAATTCGTTCAGTGTCAAAAACAGCGTCCCTCTAATGGCTAGATTTCACACAACCACATGGGGCTTGCATTGCGAAGAATATTCCCATACTATAAAATAAGAAAATCCGTAATAATTAAAATATCGTATAGCTTTGTAGCTAGCGACGTAGCTTTGTTAAATCATTTCAAGAATAAACATCGCGCCCGCGTCTCGTCAAACATTGTAATTTGCTTCCTAATTTAGATCAAATATCGCATAGCTAAATGTGACCATAAGTTCTATAATTTATCGCGTATGTATTTTGCTATGACAAATTTTCTTCAGTGAGCTTCAAATGACATTAGAATGGGTAGTCCTCATTCTCATACGGGGGGATGTAATATAAGAAATAAATTCCGCACCGCCGAAGGCTATAATTACGTCTACGTTGAGACAGCTAAACCTTCAGTAGACTGCTGGCTTTGTATAATTGTTGTTGAACTGAAATAATATCTATCAATTTTAACAAAAAAGAAAATGACTGAAATAAATTAAAATGTAGTATTTTTAATATTTATATTTCATAATTATACGGTATATTTTATGCGATGTAGACCCAATAGTTATTGCCTCCTTTAAATACAAGAACAAGCAAATAATTTTCATTTACCTTAAGCCGTAGTAAATTCTGTAACACACCGCTGCAAAAAAGAACCGTAGCTTTTGAAACAGTATTAGATTTGGTTCGTATCGATGAGCAAGTATCACTGCGCCTAACTGATTCTAAAAACGAGACAACTCTACTTTCCCCTTACGCTTCGTTCTTCTCGATGTATATTTAGTGAAGTTTGCAATTTTTTTTCTTTGGTATAAAAAAAAAATAGTTTTTATCTATCCGGCTGTTTTTTGTTGTTAACTTTGTGCTACACTTCGGTTTCGATATGCTTTGCTTCGGTCCCCTTCGCTTCCCATTACGGGCTGTGTTACAGCTTAAGTGAATACAATAATCCGACGCAAGCTCCCGCGGCCGACGGACAAACCATTAGCCGCTTTGTGGTATTAATGCTCTATGATGATAATATTCTCTAATCATAATGCTCTGATATAATCCGCGAACAGTTAACCCGCTTACCGTGGAAATGTAATTATATTTAAGTCTAATTCACATCATCAAACTAATATTGTAAATGTGAATGTTTGGATGGATGGATGTTTGTTTGAAAGTATCGTAGGAACGGCTTAACGGATCTTGCTGAAATTTGGTACAGATGTAGAATATAGCGTTGAAGAATGTGGGCTACTTATTTTAATTTAGTTGTTATCTACTTCATCCACGTGCAACTCCATAATTAAATGCTTGTTTTTATTTTTTGTGTTTTCTACTCGTCTAATATAAAAAAAATACAGATGAACTTGATAACCTCCATCTTTTTGAAGTCGGCTAAAAAGGGAAAATGCTAATTTATGTTCTGTTACATCCTTCAATCCTTTTTTAAATAATATTTACATTTATATTCATAAAGAAAAAATTGGAACAGATAGGTAAAACAGTTGTATTACAATGTACGAAAACAACGTCCATTTTGTTCTAATTACGCCCACCGACACATTAACCTTACCGACTTTGAAGATATCTGCTTAGTGATATCCGATAGAGAAAAGAACTCGCAACTTATTGATCGTGTTTACGAACATCACAGTTATTTATAGACAAACACAAAGAAGCGGCCTAATATTTTTAATCATTCTTTATAATTGAGTCCACGTTTAAATACGAACGTACAATTTAGGAAACATAAATTAAAAAATCGAAAATGAAAACCAATGTCACAGTAATTGACATACTAGAAAATATGCTTATCATCATCATGAGAATATTCATAACAATTTGATGATCTTTAGTGATATGGCTATATAGATAAAGCACGCGAAAATATCATACTTAGTTTCCATAACTGAAACAGTCACATAAAATATGTTATGGTCTTAATTATTCGTAGACGGAGAGATCATAAAAGTTAAAGGTTCACATTTTTAAATTAACGTGTCGGTGATGTAAAAGAACTGTCCGCTCTAGATGGCTATTTTAAATGGGCCACGACGATGTTGTCTATTTACTTATAAATGTAGAGTTACGTAAAGTCAAGCCTCAGGGCTGCTGCAAATGTACACGGTTGTACAAAGCGAAGTACACTATAGTCGCATTGTTCCAACTATTTCAATATACAGCGGCAAATACATATGCCATCTACAAGTCGAGAACACCGCCCGTTTCTGACTTACCCAGACAAATTGTTAATCATTTTGTAAAAGTCATAAATTGGCATATTTCACAAATTCTAGGACTAACATAAGCTATATTTTTATATTGGAAAATGATCTAATGTAAATGTGTATCTACGTATCACAAAATGGCGATCATGAAAATTTCAGCGTAAACAACCCACGATTGAAGGTCAAGTGCCAATAAAGGCAATAATTTGATCAAGGCTCGTGCGACGTAGCTTCCGGTCAAATGCATTTTAAATTCAATAACTACCCGGTAGAGTGCTGCACATTTCCGTCACGTGCCTCACAACGTAAGTGGATTTATGAATCCATTAACACCTCGTGCCATCACCTCAAAATTTATGCAATTATTGGTCAATTTTAAAGTCATAAATTTTCAAAGGTTCTAGAAAGATAACCTTTCGTAGCACAATCGTAGCGATTTCTCGGGCGACTGGTTAAAAACTTCAAATGCTGAATACAGAACAAGATTCTGTAATGGACATAATAAAAGAAAATAAAACGATGTGTTTTTTTCTTTAAAAAAATAAAGGGGTTGGTTATAATGCTTTGACACGTGTACTACGACAACGGAGGTTCACCGTAACCTCACGGTAAGGTCACGTCGCGTTTAATGCAATAACGCAGTATCGTGCATCGTGTTCTATATTACTGTTAAACTTCGTTACAATTCCCCCTTTCCCCCATCCTTGGCATCCATTATACATCCTGTCTATAACTAGTTCCTGCTGAAAGTTTAGGTGGGTCCTAGTAATTATATTTGCTTGACAATTTTACTGTAATCGAGTAGATGAAATAGCTATTACAGTCGCGTTACATGTCTTCTATAATGTGTACCTGTGAAAATTAAGATATCTTCTTATCTTATTTGATTTTTCACATTATCCTTATCATCAAAGGACCGAATCTCTACTGATGTGCAATACGTATTTGAGTCCCAGCAGCTATTTAATTCAATTTTGACATTGATAACAATTTCCCTGAATATTGTACAAGTAATTAAAATCACACGAAACATTAATTTATTTTCGTTAACAAGAATCACTTTATCAATTTTCGAATATTTGAAGTGAAAACTGTGAATACAATATTTATTTAATAACACGAGTTCGCGGAAGCTTGCTCGTTATTTACACGTTATAAATTATCTGAGTTCATACAGCAAGTGGACCAGGAACATAATGTGTCTTGCGACACTAGTTGAGGTTCCCGCCTTGTGGTTTAACGACGCGTCCCGACTTCGAATAGCTAGTTACTCTACACTACTTACAATTATAAAAGACATTCGTTTAGATAATAACTGTCCTTACATTTTAATAATTTTAGGATTTTATCTTCACTTCAAAAAGGAGGAGGTTCTCAATTTGTCTGTATGTTTTGTAAGGTTTCACAAAACCTGCAAGGACATATAGGCTACTAATTAAGTTTTTTTTCATTCCGCGCGGACGAAATCGCGGGCGACAGCTAGATTACATATGTACATTACATATTATTGTTTTGTGGCCAGATGTTACGTCATAGTAAAAGGGCGTGGCCAAACGGGCATGATGATGAAGAAAATACTGCGAAGCCTTTCGCCTGGACACCGCAGAGCTCCCAATACTACTATCTGGAGGAAAACCAATTCCGTAAGTACAAACATCATCTCCGTTCTTATCCGACTCTTGACCAGAGCACCAGACCACAATGAAGCAGATTAACGTTTACCAAATCTATGTATTATCCATAATTTCAGTTCGTAACTATCCGTTCGTTATCGTCACATCTTATAATAAGCTACGTTTTACGGCTAAATTTTAAAATTGTTCGTACTTTCAACGTATTAATGTAATATTTTCTATTCAGGGACGAAAACAACTGAAAATTATGAAGAAACTGACGATGTGATGGAACACATGAAGAGACTGGGCTTGGCGCCTAAGATCAGTCCGCGCTCGGAGAATAGCAATGCACTTGTAGCTGACGAAGTGGACGAACTCACTCGTGGCTTGTAAGTTTAATTATATGTTTTTTTTACATTTTCATTCTAGCAACAGAATTGAGATGCCCTATTCAAGCTATTTCAGCTCTCTAATTAACTCGTTAACATTGTGTTTTCTATGAAAAAAGTCACAGCACTTTTCCATTTCAAATCTGAATGTATTTTTAGAATTTCATTTGAAAATGTAAACATCATTGGACTCATTATATCGTATCTAAAAGATACCGAGTTGACCTTAAGGTGTTAATTAAAAAACAAATTAATTATTCTTAACTCTAATCCATTACACAAAAAATATTTATAGACAAAGTTACCTTTTACTGGATTCATCCATTATTTTTCTTTTCACAGGAAAATAACTTAATGCCATTTATAAATAACTTCTATATTTTTGTAACATCTTCGTGTTTTCGCATTAAATAGAAATCGGTTTAAAAATAACTTGAGGTCTCCCTCGGGAAACTCTGCGTAGCCGTTACTTTATTTATTAAGCCTCTTAGTTTGAAATACTATTAAAGATGATATATTTAAAAATAAAGTCGGAACACGTTATACAAAATTTAAAAGACTTTGACAAAATTAGAGCGACAAATTATATACAAGAATAATAATAAACCATCATATTTGTCTCCAAAAAGCTGTATATTAGAAAATTACACAAAAAACTTGCACAATTATAAAACGTAAAAATGTAACTCGTGCCCACAAGGTTTTATTAGGCCAAGGTTAGAATAGGATATAAAATAGATTTTTGCAGTGTAGAGAATTTTTCGTTTTGACTTTTGGTTAGATTCCATTTCCGAGAACAAGTTCAATTTAAAATCCGAACGATAGAGTGTGGTTTTGTCCACCAGTGTTACCAAGTTATTAAAAATGCTTTTGTGAAAAAATAAATATCGTCCACTGTAACATGTCAGTGTTCCGTTAGTCGGTTCCACTTTATCGGTTCTTTCATGTTAGTGACGTAAAGGTTAACACTTTTATGAAATTGAAATTATTAAGCTGTTCTGAATTCGTAAACAACGCAATGAAAGCCTTTGTTAAAAGTGACTGTTTTTAAAACTATATTATTTTAGATTTACTTTATGTTCTACTTTAACATAAGCCATGCATCACCGAAAGCTTTTAACAAGGACAAATATGCAATTCTACTTATCGCGTCATTCTTCTCTGTTTTCTATAACTTGTTTTTCTACTTTTCGTGTGCAACATTCTTGGTGACCAGTAAGGTCACTAAGGTGGTATTCATAAGGATGAATACCACCTTAGTATATTATATTAATATGGTAAATATAAATATTATATTACTATAGTAAGGACCAGATACAGGACACTAACTTTAATAAATACGATGGACAAGGGTGTGCCAGCAATGTCATATTCAACAGCGAATAATCGTTCGGGGTGCGGTCATCGAGAAAAATGATGCCTCTATCCGCTCTGCCCCCAACCGTGTGGGGTGGATAGGGAAGGGGGGGGGGGTCAGATGCGGCGGACGTTGACAATGAACTCACAAGAACAATATCCCAAGCTCTCAGTGAAGTCCCGCAACATATCGTAAAACAATCCGATGTCTCAATTTAAGACAATTTTAAAATTCATATAAACTTTTATAATGTCAAATTCTAGTCTTAAATAACAATAAGAGAGACGTCTTTATGAAATTATATTTAAACTTTTATTAATTGCCACCTATTTTCCTTTTTTTGGTGTCAGGCGAATCCTCGTAAGATACCCTGCTTTTTGGACGAAAGACAGTTATGTGAGATTCCCACTCACTTAAACCCTTCGGTGGCAAACGTATTTTTTAAAAGGAATACATTGGTAGATCGTAAATATATTTAACAAAATACATAAGGGAAATCAAGAATAAAATATGTGAAGTTAAAAGTATGTTGTTCGATTTAATTACCAGTGTATGTTGATGGCGCTGTAATCATGAGCTGAATAATAAAATCTTTGATAACAGTAACAGTAGAAAGGATATTAATTCCAGGGCTAATATGGAATACCGCGCGCCTGTCTCCTTAATACCAGCCAATCTGCGCTGGTTGAAAATATTGCATCCGTCTATTGAAACTTATACCGAAGAGAGGTGAAAGTAGTTTGTGCACCGGCAGGAATCAATATTCGATCTCGAATCTTTTTTTAAACATTAATCAAAACATCCATTAGCAATCAATAATCATAATTTATATTGTTTAAAGGGCAATCGAACAATTTTTTTGTCATACAAAATAATTAAAAAGACGTATAAATGATCGAATATTGATTTAGGTCGTTAGAACTAACCCGACTCCCCCACACCCCACCTCTTGAAACTGTTAGTAGAATCGCAACACAACATTTCTTCGTCGACATGGCATTATCGACTTTATCAATTGGTCTTTAAATTAAAATTTCATGGAAATTTATTTGTTAAACAAAACGAAATGTGATGTTCGATACTTTGATTTATTCCTTGAAATATTCTATCTTCTGTTATTTAATTAAGGTTCTGTATACTTTCGTTCATTTAAGCTGCTTACGTTCTGTAAAATGATTCTTAGAAATGTTATTTTATTTATGAGAAGTTACTTTGATTACATTTTAGTTTATTCTGTGAAGGAGTTTGAATTACGTGTACACGGATTGTATTGTTTTTTTTTTTCAGAAACTGTTTTAAGCATGTCACTTTTGAAAACTTGTTTTTAACGGTATTGTGAGTAGTAATATATGTTAGGAATGTAGCATAGTTAAAGTCGGTACGAATGAACGAGCGTTTTTTTCATGAAATTCGCTTTATGAAAAAAGATGATAGAAAAAAATTTAAATTAACAAAAATATGTATTAAGATATTAAAAGACCGTAAAGTTCGTAGTTAAAAAGATCTCGTTTAATCGTACTATATAAATGTATAGATAGTAATAATTTGTTAGTGACCACTTTGTTGTGAATGTGTGCCATTTGCAGCGACAGCACGGACAGGCCTCGCCACACCTTCCTATACGAAACGAACGCCTCAAATCTCTCTGATTCTATCTACAGCATCGCAATTCTGATCGGTGTCATCGCTGCCATCACTGTGTCCCTTATTGGATTGACTTACGGACTCTACGTGTAAGTATTTATAAAACGGTGATCGTGGTCAAGTTTAGAACACAACGCTAGAAACTACTTGACATATTATGAATGTAGTAAAGATTTTTTAGATGTGAAGTTAGGTCTAACAGTGGAAGACGCCAGCAAAAACAACATCTGTTGCACGAAATTGCCGGCTCTCCCGGTGTAATACCACGACCACACAGAAAACAGGCGTGAAGTGGAAAAATTCCCGATTTCGTCTTAAGTGTGTGCGTTCCTGAGGCCTTGTTTTAGTCCTCTTCCCCTACCCACCCTTTTCTTATAAGGAAAGAATGGGAAGGAGAAGTGGATTTGACGGAGCAGGATGCATGTGAAGCGAAATATTATCTTTCTGTGCGTCCCCTCCTCCGTCAATTTAAGGTAGGCAACGCATCTGCATTTGTAGATGTCTATGAGCAGAGGTCGCTTCGCTGTTTAGGCGAATTCAGTTGGCCGCTTTGCTTTGCCACCTTATGATATAAAAAAATGATAAGAATAAAACATTTCGTAAAATCTTAATTTATTTTTTATGATCGTACGTGTTATGTTCTTAGTCGTACGCGATTGAAGTTTAGGCTCTTGTAATTTGTCAACGACGTCCATTATGACTCCATTCTGACAACATTAAAAATGTTTTGTATATATATGCTATATTACAAGTGCTTGTCATTTGCGATGCTTGCTATAAACATTTAGCAATTCATTTACGTATCGAAGTCACTTAAAAGATTGGCTTTCTCCCATTGAGGTTGTCAAAGCAATCTCCGGGAGACATTTTGACAGACGGTGTCTTTTTGGGATGATGGCAATTACACGAACGCCTACTCTTGTTTATCTGATTGTTTAGTGTAATTTTGTGTTGTTGTTATATTTAGTTTATCGAAGAAGATACGAGCAACAGGCGAGCCCGAATACCCTGCTTACGGTGTAACCGGACCCTCGGATCCTAACGGTGACAGCAGACTGGCGCACTCCGCGCATCTCTACCACTACCAGCATCAAAAGCAACAGATCATTGCTATGGAAAGGTATGTTTACATCTAAAACAGTGATTCCCAATCTAGGCCTGGTGAACTCAGCTCACTCGACACATGTGTAAGATGGCGGGTAAAATTGGAAGTTAACAAGTTAAACAAGTTAAAAAAAATGCATAAACAGGGTTTCATCGAAACCAAAAAAGTTTTAAAACAGGTATTCGATTAAAAAAAAATGGTAACCTTCGTACCATACGTCCTCTCTAAAACCTCTAGACTATCGAGGGTTACCAATTTACGTTGTATAAAAGATAGCAAATATCGTTTTAATTGGATCCACGAACATTGGTTAATAAAAGCGGCTATAGGAATGAAATCTATTCAATTTCTATTCTTAAGAACAAAAATGAAAAAAATCATGTCCCATTCGAGCAGCTTCTATTTCCGTGCTCGTTTTATATGATATTGATTTTTAACATAACATCATTAATAAGTAGACTTAATTAGAGAGAATACGACTTTACTGAATAACGACTTCTTTTATTTTAGTTAAAGTTTTGTCAGATATGTAATTGTGAACAAATTAGATTCCGGTCAGTTTTCGCAGAAGTGTACTAAGGTATTAATTTTAGATAGTATTTGGACGCGCGTTGCTACGTTCATCTGAAGATGTTGATGATTATCAAATCTTAATTGCTAAATATAATGTAAACTAATGATAGTGACAAAATAACTTTATCAAGTTCACCTTATAGTACTGAGATCAATTCTAAATCAAGTCGGGAACTGCATCGTTTTTATACGACTCAACTGAACAAATTGGATTTCGACATTTATCAGAAACAACATTTCAATCCACCGCGCGCTAGCTTTTTAGAAAAAATGTACAAGGATTATTTATTTAGTCCCCGGGAGAAGGTTGGAAATGTTCTACCTTTTCGTTCCACGTCGCCCACGCCGCGCCGTGTGGCCTCGCGCGCCCTCACGCCCACCGCCGCGCCACCGCCGCCGCCGTCGCGGCCGCCCCTTTTCAATAATTTCAATTACATTTACGTCTACAAATAGTTATTTGTAATTTCAGTTGAATACATTTTACCAGATTATATTATTGGAATATTTGAAATATACAAATGAATGAATGATTGGAAACCTCAAAAACACAATATTATACGTAATTGCGAAGATCCCTCGAGCTTTTCACATCAATTTACTTTTGTGATTCCAAAAATACATTGCGAGATACAAATAAGATTTAATGAAATATTTTTAAGTAAGAATTTATTTTAAATTCTATACAGACTAAATAAAATTATTTATATATATATGTTAAACTACATCTATTCCAAGAAAGATTATGTGTGCAGGGGTGGTGTGCCTGAGATTCGTCCTGGATCCGTGTCCGAACCAGAGTCCGATGAAGAAAACGAAGAGGGAGATTACACTGTGTACGAATGTCCCGGCTTCGCTACCGTGAGTACTCTTCCGCAATTATACCTTACGCCTGAAGTCGGCAACATACTGTTGGAAATTGAAATTCATTTTTTATTATTTTTTTATTTTATTTCTTTATTTTTAAAGTTTTTGTTTAATTTTCAGCTACGTTTTGCATTCTACATGCTGCATGTGCATTCGACAATAGTCACCAAGCAGTTGAACGACTTTTTTCTACTTTTGTTCGTCGTGTTTGAATTGCCATCGAATATGAGAAAGGTCATCATCATTTAAAAAGTTTGTCCTCGGCGTTGCAGCAATTCAGAACATTGTTGTCTTAACTACGCCGTTCTCTTGACAACTCCACTTTCTCTTTTACTTAATACTTTGATGTGCCTTTCCTCTAACATGTTTCTTCTTCTCTTTTTATTGTACACACATATGTAAGACTGTTCTCATGAAACATATCTTTTTCAATTTAACCTGGAATATTTCTTACACACAAAAACAATTGTAAACTAACAAAAACCTTATAATTTTCTTCTATTCAACAATCATTTGTCACATTTTGCTTCTCGTTTACTCAATTTTAATTCTTCTCTGCTAAAGGCGGTTTAAGCGCCATTAGCCTTATCGAAGCGCCAATAGTTTAATGGTCAAGGTTGCGGACTTCTGACTTCAGAGAACGTGGTTTCAAATCCCCCCATTGGACTATTGTCGTGAACCATATCCTAACACAAGCTTAAAGCTTAATTGGAATGGTAGAAGAAATATTAGTAAATTAAGAAAAATCTGCTAATATTTTAATTAAAAAAAATACTTTTGTTATCCTTATCAGACATTTCCGTCCAAAAATGTTGTGTGTGCATGAAAGTGTTGTATGTATGAACTTGTGTGCTGCGCGCTGTCGGAATAAATACATTATTTTTGATTTTGTGGTTCACTATAATTTTACCGTAAAATTGCAAACTTCGTGAGTTTTTAATTTCAACAACGTTTTACATTCCAACTTATTCTTTGGATTATTTTGACATCTATTTAAGATAAATAATGAGATAACTTCACTATTAAAGTAATTTATTTTACATCATGATATGTCAAATTGAAATACAGTAAAATACTTTTTTCAATTGTAAATGATCGGTGACTTAAGGATTGTGAAATTACAACATCGCTACTCAGGTTAGCTAACGAAGTTTGCGATTGGACGGTAACACGATGATGTTTCAGACCGGTGACATGGAAGTTAAGAATCCGATGTTCTCTGACGATCCGACGCCGGCCACACCCGGCAAATGCGAGATCGTTCGTCCCCAGCCCAAGGAGTAATCGCCTAGCTCCAGCATCTGCGCTCTCGGCTATATAACGAGGACAACGCTATTGCTCTATTTTGACAACGTATACTATCTACTGATCGATCTCTTTGTAATCGATCCCTTTTTTTAATATTTTGTAGTTTTAATCATTTATATAATCGATAATGATATTAAATCTATGTGAAAACTATTTCATGTCGAAGATTTGAATATGTTAAATCGTTTATACTATCCAAACTTTATGGCGGCTTTATGAAATCTCTAAAATGTTGGGTATCCGTGGGTAGTGAGGGATTAGGGGGTCACGCCTACTACCACTACACCAGCAGCGGGCAAACCCAGCACCAAGCTGGGTAAACATTAGCTCGCAGCTAATTAAAGCTGTCATGATGTTTTGATTGTAATACTACATACTTATGTGTTTGTTCCCGGGTCAGGTGCGCTTAAAGCGCGGCCCGTTATTTACCTTTTATTAATTCGTTAATAACTTCTATAGTCTACTGAGTTATGTTTTTTGTAGATTGTTTTAAATTTGTTATATAATCAGATTATATATTGTAATAGTATACCATCACTTGTTCAAATTAATATTTATAATGAATAGTCTATTTTTTCACGAATATAAGATTATCCGCACAAATTACAAAATATCATTAAAAATAATTGGATATATGAAAAGAAATACATATTTACAAATCTTACAATATTTTACTGTAGATAAAGAATTTACGACTTGCAAATAACCTTCAGTCTGCAGATATATAAACACATCTATATTTATAATTATTTAGGTTTTTTAAAATTCCCTTGTACATTTCAAAGTTGTTATTTTTGATAATAATACCTTGACATTGCACATAATGTGTGTTACAATTTAAAACTTTCGTGTTGGATAGATAAGATAATCTTAATTCTAACTTGGGTGTTATTTCCTGGTAATATACTAATAAACAAAAAATAACGATGTTTTATTAAACAATAACCTCACATTACTTCCGAAACATCCCCTCATGTAAATAAAGTTTGAGTGCCTATCGATAAATACATTCTCACGACAGATAATTCTCTTACTATGCAAATTAAAAAATAACATTGAAATTAAAAAAAAATAACTTCACATGTAACAACTACATGTGAACTTGGAATATAACTAGCTGTCGCCCGCGATTACGTCCGGGCGGAAAAAAAAACAGAATAAGTAAGCCTATATGTTCTTCTAGATTATGATCTATATCTACGTCAAATTTCATCAAGATTTGAGCTGTGTCGTAGATCCTTTTCCATCCATCCAAAAAATCACATTTACAATATTAGTATGATAAGGCTTACTTGTTCCTCAAATCTGCTTCAAGTTTTAAAGACTTATTGCAGATAAAGCTAAAAAAATATGGTTAGGCAACTTCTTGTTACTTCTAGTACATACGAAATTGAAAGTCGGCTTATAGCCAATGAGAAAGTAAGTAGATTTATAACTGAGACAGGTAATGTCTGCCGACTCCTCTACGATCCAAATCTACACATTTACCTCAAAAAAAAAACTGAGTACTTTTGTGCCTTATTTACCAAGTATATCTCTAAGTTACTGAACTCCGGTAGGCTCCAAAGCTTTAACGTCACCCTGTGATAGATTAACTTTAGACTCATCATCTACTGGACATATTGTTCCAATCTTCTCTGCTGATTTCAGTTTTTTCAAATCAGATTCTATTCTCAGTAGTTTCTCCTTGCAAGAGTTTGTACGCCAAGGTCTTTTTGGATCAACAGCATTTGACACGTCTTCGCTTGGTACTTTTGCTGTTCTAGAAACAAAAAATCAAGAAAATAATATAAGTACGAGAATATAAATAACAGATTTTAATATTAAAATACCGGTACAGTAAAATTGATTATCTTTTTTGCAACTGAGAAACAAGAATGAATTTTCTTACTAGTGCTTCAGGCAATGGAAGGTAAACCTAACTTGATATTGAAATTGTGATTTAATAAATTCCTTGAAAATTATTGACATGATACTAGTCACAACTGGATGTTTGATGGACACAGCCTGGTAGAAAACATAGGCTAGTTAATTATGTTTTTTTTTAAATCCGCGCGGACATAGTCGCAATAGATAATAAATGTATAATCAAGGAATACGCACCTTTTCTCCTCACCGAGTAACTCGCGGAGCTTCCTTTCGTTTTCGTCCAATAAAGCTCTATCAGGTATGTAAGGGTTCACATACTCTTCAATCTCGGTACTACTTTGTTCCTCAGTGTCTTCTTCAGCAAACTTCTCGTGGAAATCCTTCACCAGCGGCCGACACCGTTCCGGCAGCCTGTCCTCAGGTACTTCCAGGTCTTGCAGAAGCTTCGATATCCTTGCCTTCTCTTCATTTGTCGACATTATTCACAACAAATACCTAAAACCAACGCTACTAATCTAAATATGTCAAGGTAACTCCATGGTAACGTATATTTTCTGTCGCCGTTACATTGTGTTTACCGCCAATCTTTAATTTGCCTAGGCAAATAAATGTAAATTGCCTTTCAAATGATTTCATTAATAAATCTGTTATTTCGATCATATTCAGACACTTTATAAACGTGATATTTCAATGCCTGTTATTTAGCCTAGACAAATTGAAAACGGGCGGTGAACACGATTAGCCGGTGTCATGTCTTACACGCGCCATTTTATCAAATGTTCCCATCTTAGCAACAGTATTATAAGAGGGAAGTGATCTCATCTAGTACAAAAAGTATTCCGCCTTATTTCCAATGTCACCCTTGACACCAGCCATAAATACAATAGCTATTGTAGTCAAATAAAGGCAACATTGTTCGGGTACACAACTAATGCTAAGTTAAAGATAACCTTACTTTGTTATTTAGCTCATGAAAAGATTCAGGTTACAGGAAGCTTGTGATGTCTATCTTTCCAATTGTTATAAAGAATAGTCATGTAGGTAAAATATCATAGTTTCTTATTAGAATTTTCAAAACAAATTAGGATTTTTATGAAAACCCAAATCGAACAGCGCTTTAGAAACGCGTTTTAAGAACGGGCCATAGAACCAGAACATTCTGACAGTTTCGTACATATTTGATGTTTGACATTTGCATGAATCTGTCAGAATGTATGGGATACTTTGGGTAATGGATCAGAAAGTTAGCACTTTGAAAAGCATGCATTAGAAATAGCTCGATGTATACTAAATAATTAACACACCCTTTTTCTCTACTTAGTTTAATTTAGCTTATAGACATTACGTCGTTTTATTATTTCATCATCATCATCATCATCAGCCTATGCTAGTCCACTGCTGGACATAGGCCTCTCCCATGGCACGCCACTGAGCACGATCCTCGGCTACTTTCATCCAGCTCTTGGCAGCTGCCCTGCGCAGATCATCGCACCACCGCTCCATTAATTAAAAATGTAATATAAATGGAGAGTCTGATATAAAAATGAAACAACATTTATTTAATTCAATATATATTATTGAAGAGGGCGCAAGGCACATACACAAGACATACGCATCCGATATTAAGACACAAAGCTTTATAATATTTCACACATTCATACAATTTAAATGGAACTTTTGGGAAAGATGTATGGATCAACAGATTTATAGATTATCAAAAACTCTATAATTTGATATATAATTGGAGATCATTTTATATACAACTAGCTGTAGCGCGCGACACCTTTCGGGATTATAAAATATGTATAGGCTACCTATTCTCAAACCTACTGAATATGCTTATAAAATTTCATAAAAATTTTGCTTTTCTTAAGCCGTTTTGAAGGAGTATGGTAACTTTGTGACACGAGAATTTCATATATAAAATTGATTCTTTGTAAAAACAAATATAAATATTATTATTAAATTGTCTACTTTGATCTAAAATTACCCATCAAACTATAGTTATAAAATTTAACCCTTTGCGAACTATTCAAAACCAATGAGGCCATTTTTTGTTATTCCATATTATTACAATGATATTTGTAGCTAAGTGGAATATCATAATATTATTTCAAAATGGTATTATTAAAAACATATGTAAAAATCGTATAATCTTGGTAAATAAAGGGTTAATAATATATTTGACACTTCAGTCCTTTTAAATCCATTTACAAATAATTTAATATCGCAAAGATATAACAATCGTTATAAAACCAATATTCTAGGAACTGTTCATTAAATTCCTAACAAAAGTTGCACTTATGAAATTCCACTATCGTAATAATAGTATTAGAACGTTGCTTTGTTTTTTGTAAGATAGTGCGAGAGTTATGTATTTATACAAGTTGTGCGATAATGAAAACCTACGGTAAGACTTGATCAGTGATGAATTCAAGAGGAATGGCTTCTAAAAGGTTAAACTTTTATCAGAATTCTTGATCACAAAATCTGGTGACGAATTGGAGACTTAGATATCGATGAGATTAAATAGTTCGAGATCTTTTCCTACAAACACGAACGAATCTCCTTCCGTTTAAATCTGCCATAGTCCATTTTCAAAGTGAAATATAACTGATTCGTTATTTAACAAAAAAACATGTATTTTCTTTATCAAACCAATATCATATCCAATTAAAAAAAAACAATAAAATTTCCTCTTTTCATAATATTCTGACTAAATTTTAAACTAATATATATGTTCTCTTATCTGCTGTAATTTACTTAAAAACATATTATTACGACATTTATTATAATTCGTGTTTAATGTATCTTTTTTTACGACATAAATATACCAAAGTTTCCATACACTTTCCCTATAACATATATATTTAATGGAATATAAATGATAAATCTATACAGATCTATAAATACGGCACATTGCGACATAATGCAATACTATTTATTCTTTTAACATACATAACATATATATTTAGGCCCAAATTATTAATTAAACAAACGCATTCAATTGACCAATTATCAATTTCGACAGTTTATAATCACACTAGATATATTATAAAATATCAACATATCGTAAACTAAATTAATTCGAGACAATGCCGCACGAGATTTAAAAAAACATAATAATTAGTACCCTATGTGTGCCTAGTTTAGCGAGATCCATGCAGATGTTCTGAAAATACCTTTAAACAAAAATCCATCTATTAAAACATTCGCATTTATAATATTAGTAAGATTGACTTACTTAGTTAGTTCTTAATATGTCTAGTGGGATCATAAACTGAAGAATTTCACATTCGATCAGTAATATATTTAAATTCTAACTTAAACACGTAATGAGAATCTATATTGGCAAATAACATTTGTTCGTATCAAAGCAAACAAACAGCTTTCCGACAGACTTTAACAAATAACACTACAAACAAAATTTATGATATTTGTACATTTTGGTTGATCGACGACCATTTACATAATAATATATCCAAACATAGCACGGTATTAAAAAGATTTATAATTATAAATATATATATATATAATAGAATCAAATGACTTATAGTTGATTTCCGAAACCAAAATCCTCGTTTAAAACATATAGTTTTCTGTTTAATACAGAGAACTTGCGTCTCAGAAACCCACTGTTAATGTTGCAATTATCAAGGCTTCCGAGCCAACGTGGGCACCAATTACAAATCTTAATACAGGCAAAATATGTGAAGTCACAGATACCAAAAAAAAATAATTCGATGAAATAACGAATTATAATGCATATAGGCTAAAGCATTAGGCGGAATATCACCTATAAGTGAATTTAACAAACACTGCATATTCCAGAGTTTTTAATAAAAAAATGAACCGGTGGGGAGATGATATAAAATTGTCTCTCAATCATTAAAATATAGCAATTAACAACCACCTTCGTTACAATACGGTCTCATATCAGGCAACATACGATCAAACACACAAACAGACTGAGATATCATCCCTACTAAAGAGATCTAAAACATATTACCTCTTTTGACCTCAAACAAATTAAAAAAAAACAATAACATTTTAAAATAAATGCAATGCGAATGACATTTCGATGTTCGGCGATAGTTAACACAAATAATTTGTTATCTTTTAATACAGAATACAAAGACAATTGTTGTATTGTCTATGTTTTGTCAAATGTAAAGTAAATAGAAGAGGTAGAAGCCACGCCCACGCGCCGCCATTACGGTTGCGTGCGTTTTGTGCATTATAATAACGATAAGAACTTCTTTGGCTAATTTATTGAGCACCATAGCCCATTTTGTAAAAGTATTTGATCGCTTCGAGGACGCAAACGTAGCGATATTCAGTACATAAGATAAATATTAATACCGGTTTCACACGAGGACAGCATAGAGTAGTAAACATAGCGGCATTGTACTGTGCTAGTGTTCTACCCTCGTGAGAGACTAGCGTAAGTTTCCACGCCACTTAAATTAATAAAATATATAAGTTAAAAGGCGGCGAGCGTTACTCGAAAGACATAAGATTTGCTGGAAGCGGCTTCTCACTTCTGTTATTCACCTCCTCTATTTTTTCCACCCACTGCTTCGCCACAGATTCAGATCCCGTCCTGGAAACGAAATTATACTTTTAAACAAGTAGCCAATGTTAAATCACTTTTATTCTATCTCTATTCTTCTCTAGAATGATGAAAGTGATGGCAATATTGAGGTAATCTTATTAATATTATAAATGCGAATGTTTAGATGTATGGATGTTTTAAGTTATCTCCGGAACGGGTCAATAGTTATTGATGAAATTTAGCATAGATGTAAAACATAGTCAGGAAGATCACATAGACTACTTATTAAGTTTTTTTAATTCCGCGCGGACGGAGTCGCGCGTAACAGTTAGTACATACTATAGTGTAGATATCCCTTACTTGAACCTGTACAGTGTACCAGCGGCGTGGTGCAGCAGCTGGAAGCAGTCTGGTGGCTCCAGCGCCGCCGCCCAGCCCGCCAGCGGCACCACTTTGCAACGCTCCGAGCGGAAGTCGTTGCGGTTGCTCCTGATTTACAAAAATCGAATTACAGATAATTCCATTGTAAGGGTTACTATTGTTCGATTACTCTATTTTGTTTTAATATCTATAACGAACTAATCCAAGAAATTTTAACTGATTTCATTAATTCTTGATTGTATAAAATAAATGGATAGATGGCGCTGCAAAGTAGTAAAGTTCTCGAGGACAATTATTTAAAAGTAAGCTAACGCGGTCTGTTATTGATTAGTTTTAAAATACTAAAATGTACCCTTTAAATGACTTGGAAGCGTAGAATACGAGCGCGGATCCGGCAAGTTCCAGCCAGAAGCGTTGCCATGACGACAGAGATATCTTCCTCCCATCCTTCAACACCGTCTTCCTTCTCACGTAGCTTTGAAAATCGCATTGCAAAGGCGCAGAGTTGGAAAGTTCACTGTAACAAGAAATCATCCCATTAGATATATACATTTGAATACATTCCTCCTCCAATATATATTCAAATGTATACTGACTACAGAAATGGTCTTTACATCAGTAGGTACCTATGCAGGGCTCCGGGGGGCGCAGGCGCCGCGGCGACCGGCGCCTCCAACAGCGTATCATCCAGCAGGTTGACGGAGCCGGGGGGCGTCGGCCCCGCACACCCCTCTCGCTCCTCCCCCTGCCCCGCACCCTTGCCGAAGATGCTGCCAACAATACCCTTAACACAACCTGACCTTATATACATCTTACACAATATGACCGTACAATTGTAGAATTCCAATGTCATGACAATTGCATTAATAAATATTGCCGTCACACTTTTCTCAAATATAATGAAAGGGACGGAACAATGTCACGGCGTTGGAATTCAACGGTAAAGCGACCTTCAGCCGGTAAGCAATCAGCTCACCGAACGCGGTGTCACCTATCCTATTTTACACTATACATTTCCTCCTGTAATTTAGTTTAAAATAATGGAATCTAGATTCACAAGGGATTGTATATAAAGCAGAGACAAGCGCGAACATAAATGGTCTAGATATTCATGCACAAACGGACGACACAAACTAATATAGATTTACGGACTGTTTGATATAATATGGCTAGTCAGTCAAATTTGAAATTAAATATAAAATGCTTCAATAACTTACTAAATGAAATCAAACAAGCCAACTAATCAAAGAAAATTCCTAATTTTAAGATCAGGGATTTGCGAGGACTGAAAAGTGGTAGTTGTCATGCGTGTCACATTAGCCGTCATGAGATATGTAAAAAATGACCGTAAATCTGCATTTACTTAAAATCTTACTATATAATTATAAATGCGAATGTTTGGATGATTGGATGTTAGAATTTATTTCCAGAAAGGCTGATTAGATATTGCTAAAATTTGGAATGGATATAGAACTTAGTCTGGAAGAACACATATTATGGAATGAGTCTAAAAAAACTTGCAAATTTTAATGTTTAAAATGCAATAAAAGCTAAAGTGAAACAATATTTGGCGCGAATTAAGCGAATTATTTCCTATCATTTTGATTATGTTACAATATTTTGCTTTTTATATTAACCTGTACCCAAAGGTTTTATTCAAAAAATGAAATGATTTTATACTCTATGTTGCAGAACATAATCCGTGACACCATTGTGCAGCATAGACAAAAGCAAAGATTCAACATAAGCTTGGATAGATATATAAAAATCATGCGATAGATTACGGACCGTTTTTATGAGGAAGTTTGATGAATATTTCTTTTCATTTTATGGACGACTAGGTCAAATGAGTTCATTGTTCATAATAAGGGTTTTGTGGCTTGATAACTTCACCAACTAGGAACCGGGCATTACTTCCGTAAAATCCGTACCAAAGTAATATTCACATTTATACAAAAGCTAAATTAATTTAAACAAAGGGTAAATTGTAATCGGTAGCTATGGCCGGGCCGACAGCAGGTAGCAGGCGCACCCGCGGCACCCGGCGTGTTCGCATGCTTGTGCTAAATTACAGTACAACACTACGCAACAACAAATGCAAGCCGTCGTACTAATTCCAATACAAATCGACTCACCCAACACCAAAATTGACCTTGTGAAAATTTCTTGGTAAACTCGCGCTACGAAACCTAAGTGCCCAGTGACGGGCAAAAATAATGTTTCAATAATTTGAATTTCAATAATATTACGTGTGAACGACGGATCGCCAGAGACAAGATTGTCTTTAGTTATACAAACAACGTTTCAATTATCAAAAAATAATTAAAAGTATTGATTAAAACCTTATTAGTAAAAATTGTTGTAAACATCAAAGACAAACTTATCTCTTTCATCTCAAACAGGAAACAATGATAGTTACGTGTAACGGATAACAACGATGCTGGCATGAGGGGCACGAGAAACATGAGGGGGCACGAGAAACATGAGGGGGCACGAGAAACATGAGGGGGCACGAAAGGCGAGGGGGCACAGAAGGCGGAGAGGCGGAGAGGCGGGGGACAACGCCGGCAGCACATCGACAACAACAACGATGTCGATATTGTTACATGCGGTCGTTTTCATTTAGTTGCGTTAAACATTCATTCAGGCTTACATATTCTATCATTCGGTAAAACATTAAATTTATTACATTCCCCTAACCAGCTTTTAATATCATCTGCGAAACATCATTTTACGAATTAGCACATTAATAACACAAATTAGTATTAATAGAAACTAGTTTAAAATAAATAATATCGTTGGATATATCGCGTTTACGAGAGCGTACGTATTGTCCTGTACGTACTTGGAGCCGAGCGAGCGGCACTTTCTATGCGTCGGTATGAACTTGGGCTGGAAGGGGGCCTGCAGCCGCAGCGAGCCACAGCCGATTCGGTGCGACGGCGACAGCGACGAGGGCGGAGCGCCCGCGCAGCCCCCCGCCGATGTCGCAGCCGCCGCGGAGCCCGCTGCCGTACACGAGGACGCACACTCCTTCACGGACTCCTTGGAGCCCGTGCGACTTCCCGTAGGTGACGGAGGTTCCAACTTCACCGATAACCTGGAAAAAACAAAACAAATCATATAGCCTCGCAGGTATCACACTTTTCTTTTGCATTAAAACCACGATTTACTTTCCAAGACTAGTTGTCACCCGCGACTCCGTCTGTGCGGAATTTAAAAAAAATGTGTTCTTCCAGGTAATGTTCTACATCTATACCAAATTTCTGTTCCGGAGATACCTTCTTACAAACATCCATCAATCTATACTTTCGCATTTATAATATTAATAGAATTATAAAAGAAATTGAATTATACCGACGTACAGGTAATTTGCCGCTATAATTTTATTTTCCCGGTTTGATCGGGACATACGCAACACAACGTAGAAAGATATAAAGTTAACAACATGTCAAGGACAGAAGGAAGCGAAATGAATAAAGAAATCTGATCATCATATAGGAGAGTAGGTGAGACCGGAGAGATATGATACTGAACGACGCAACCGTTTTATCATAACGATGAATCAGAATAACTGCGTTGCTAATAATTCCAATGGAAAAGTTTTACTCTTAAATAAATACTGTTATCGCTTCCTTTATTCAGAGTTAACTTTGTACTGTTCAATTGCACTAATAAATTACAGATAAGCTTTAAATAAACATGAACAAAGTCGTGTGAAAGTGTTAGTTATATGTTAAAGGGGAAAAAAGTGTAAGTCACATGTTTATAACAATACAGAAATCTAATCTCGCAACATCAATATAAGTAAACAATCATTGTTTTGGTTAACATAATATACATAATGTAAACAAGCGTTAAACGAGTGAATAAGCGTGATTGTAGTTTTTATTTATCTCTTTATTAATCATAATTAATCCCTAAACCTACACCTGAAGACGTCCATCTCACTAGTATTCACTAGATAGATGGATGTATGAATGTTTGTTACTAAGTATTTCCAGAACATCTGGATGGATCTAGCTGAAATTTGGCATAGACCATATATGGAAGAACACCTAGGAGTGTGCAACAGACAGTTTATAGATAACGTCTAATTCCTTACGAAATAGTAAGGTTCAAAACTTGTTATAGGGACATATGGCTAACTTTATTATCTCACTCATATTCGTTAAGCGGACACTGAGGGAGCCCCTTAATGTAGATGTAATTGCGGCAGTTATATAAGTGGGAACTGAATATAATTTTTCGTCTGTGCGATTTACGCATTTATCTCTTGTTATTGTTTATTTAATACGTACTCGCATTTATTTATATAAGTCAGTTTATTTTGTGTGATGTGCGCATATAGAAATATTCCGACGAAGACGCTTAATGCCTGCGCTTCACATTACTAATTATCTGAATCGAAGCTTCGCTATAAATCGTCCAGTTAATATTTATAAGTAAAATATTCGCCTACATTTGTTGCAATAACTTCAAATCGGTCGATGCCTACAAAAAAACTGTTCCATTTATGTCCAATTGTCCAAGATGGGCCAAGATTGATACTTGTCGGAACCGAGGCGATAGCTTGTACAATGTGAGACGCAAGCATAGCACTATATAAACGTAAGATAAGCTCTCTCTTGAAACATTTCTGGTTGGATGTGCGCTGCGCTGCGCTGCGCTGCGTACGAAGTGTATATTCAGGAATATTTGTATTTTGACGCGAACTTTGAAGTGATAAGATGCAATGGAATATGGAGTAAAAGGTAAAAAAAAACAAAGAACTAAGCATGTAATTATTGCTCGGTATGGCTATAATAAAAAAACCTAACCCTTTTGCGCTAATTTAACCAACAACTGCGCAGTTAACATTTCGCGCGCTCACGATTACTTTTAGGGACAGTCGCGTAATGGAATGATAGTGTAGGGGTTTCAAAGGGTGTGATTGTATTATCGGATTGGTCGATATAGCGAGATAATGATTACTTAGGCGAGATAAGGTGACGTAATATCGTAGGAGGGGTTGTACCGACTTGTACTGATCATCCTCCAAGAACTTCTGCAGCTCCTCGATGTACCGCACACTGTTGAGGTAGGCCGCGACGTGAGGTAGAGGCGGGACCTCGTACTGGGACGCCTGGTAGCGACGTAACGCTCGTAAAACCACTGCCATCTTGGCGGCGCGGTGAGGCGACTCCGCCGGGTGCGCCATATCGATGTACACCAGGTCCGTCAGGAATATACCTGACATACCACACAATCAATATCACCAAACAAGATACATAATATAAAAACTCTTTCATGGATTCAAGACATATTCATATGAAGGACAATTTTAAACTTTACAGTTTTGTCATATATAATTACCTATGTAAGGTAAAACGGGCATACAATGCCTAACTTGTGTGGCCTGAGTTAAAAATAAATCAGTTTCATAATACCTACATAAAATACATACAATTTCGCTTAATATCTGATACATTAAATAAAATTTGAGATATATATGCATACATACATATATTGACTCACCGAGGTAGGGTATGCAAGGCAGTGAGATAGTCCGAAGATATTCCCTTAGGGCAGACCAGTTGTCCTTCTCACCGAATAACTCAGCCATTTTATCGAACTGCTGTTTATCTTTCTTCGACAAACACGCCCATGTCTTCGTCAACCTGATATAAGTTTATTTCTATTATCAATAGTATATGTATACACAATAATATATTAAATATAACAATCGTATCGCAGAGCTAGTGACCTAGTTGTGAATGTCTAGCGCTTTACATTCTGAATATATTAATAACTTTGAACTATCATCATATTATAGTGAATTAAAACAAAATTTTAACTCATATAATCCCAGGAATAATTCAACAGAAATCTATTTGTGAAAATAATTATGAAAGTGTCAAAATAGATACAAAGAAAGGAAGAATTTACTTAACATGTATTTTTGTGTCAAAAGAATAAAAAATGTAGACAATTCAATCTTACTTCTTATTAGTATTAAAAACGGCAATATTTGGATCGATGTCTGAAGAAGGCATCTCCAGAACGGCTGCATGGATGTCGATAAAATTTGTCATAAATATAGAACATATTGTGAAAGAACACATAGGTTACTATTTGTTTTTATCCCGCTCGGACGGAGCCGCGTGCCACAACTAGTACTTAGATAAATGTATAAATGTTACCTGTATATACTGGCGCTGTTCAATGCTGAGATAATAGCGAATAGAGAATGGAGATTGTTGAGTTCATGCAATTTCTTGGCAACCTTTATGAAGTGTGTCAATGTCTCCGCTCGGGCCTTTGGTGATTGGCCATTGAGTATTTCTTGTACTGTCCAGAAGCTCACCTATGATAAGTAACGGCTACATTACAACTTCTCTTAAAAGTAATTTGTAACTATAATTAAAACATCTGTCTGTTCCTAAAGCAAAGGACAGATTTTAATGGAATTATGGTGAGATACTTTAGATGTAAAATATGTTTATAAAGTTTCAGGAAACCTTTTGCTTTTATATTTACGAACAGTAATAACTTGACACTAAATAAGATTCAATAAGTACTCACCCTATTGAAGCGCTTAGTGAAAGCAACAACATTTGGGGCAACTGTCAGCTTATTGCGTTTATTCCATCCACATGTGGTCAGCTCCTCAGCCTGGATGGCCTTAAAGCAAGCCAGGTCAAGGAGTGAGAGTTGATTGGCTATATCCTCAGGGGATATGCGCAGAGCAGAGCAAACTATTTCATCCCAGGACTGATTGATGGACGATGCCGCTGGCAAGCTATTAGTCTTGTACTGGTATATTGGATCTTGCTGACGGTTGCTTGTTCCATCCCCATGGCTAAAACAAATGACAACATATTCTCCTTTAGACAACATATCTTCAGAATATTATATATTTTAGATATATGACATAGTGATGTATGTATTAAAAGCACTTCCATAACAAAAATTAGATTTGAAAATATTTCTGATAAAAATCAATTTTATCTATCAAACTTCTTGGAATTAAAAGTACTTACGCGAAATTAAAGTAGCAGGCACTGTCATCTTTAGTGATAACTTTCTGGCTGCTCGGGGCGGGGTTGACAATTTTCTTGTTTGCTTGTTTACAAGCTGGTGCTTTGTCCTCCAGGGGCCAACTTTCTTCATCTTCATGCTGCAAATATTTAAACTACATAATCACCCACCAATGCACAAATATTTTCCTATGTTTCAAGTAAATTATAAAATAATGAGGAAATTCCTTACATATTTTACTGTTACGAAAAGATATTTAAAGCTGAACATTTAAGAATGTGTACAATGCATGAATGACTCTGGGAATGTCCCACTAAGTGCATATAATTAACAATGCACACAACAGTCTGATAAGTGTAGTGACACATCTATGTCCTTCCCACATCACTCATTATTATTATTATTATATATACACTTCATTACTAAGACCAGAAAGAAATTATAAAAATACTAGCGGACGCCCGCGACACCGATCGCGCGGAATTAAAAAAAAACATAATTAGTAGCCTACTTGTTCTTCAAGACTATGTTCTATATGTATGCAAAATATCTTCGAGATCCATTCAGCCATTCTGATACCTTTGAACAAACATCCATCCATCCATCTAAACATTCGCATTTATAATATTAGTAAGATGTCAGAATATCAAAAACAAGAAAACATCACAGTAGCAGTTGTTTTTAAAAATATTACAAAACATATGCTTAGTAAAATGCATATTTATCAACAATAGTTTGTATTAATTAAAACAAAATGATGAGCAAATGCAAGCACACAGATATATATCTATAGCAATATAAAAATGTTAGTTGAGAGCTAATTTTTATGATTAAAAAAAAAGTAAAAGAAAACTATATAAAACAAACACAATCTTATAATTATTTCATATTAAAAAAGATAATGATTAATAACTTTGAAATAAGACTATGTAAAAGTAAACAAGAAAAAGATAAAATAAATGAGAAAATAATAAAATAAATCAAAGCATACGTCTGATAAAATGATGCTGCATCTTTCATACACAATGGTCACACATTCCATCAATTACCTTCACATCTAGCATACTCAGAAATCTAGGCCTTTGGTTATGATAGGCAATTACATAAGTTTATTCGTTTTACTAATATTTTAAATGTGAATGTTTGGTTGGATGTTTGTTTTAAGATATTTCCAGAACAGCTGAATGGGTCTTGATGAAATTTGGCATACATCTAGAACATAGCCTAGATGAACACATAGGTATCTTAACTTCCATACTTTGTATGTGTTATTTACTATAAATAAAGACTACAAATGTAAAGACTGTGAGATAAATATTTTATCTTGTAACAATTAGGATGCTTTGGAATTCTTTTATTTCAACCCACACAATTAATAACTACACAAAGTTCCTTCATAGAATTCATTAAACTTTATCTTTTGTTTACATCCTGTGACTGTCAGCGGATATAATAGGTAGTGTTAATAATAGTTTGTTGTTTATAAATTAGAACAAGTACAGTTAGATTTATGAATATACTAGCTGTCGTCCACGACTATGTCTGCATGGAATTCAATATAAAAACATAATTAGTAGCCTATGTGTTCTTTCAGACTGCGTTTTACATCTAAGCCAGATTTCGGCAAGATCCATACAGGAATTTTGGAGATACCTTTAAACAAATATGCATCCATCCATCCATCCATCTAAACGTTCACATTTAAAATGTGTATCACATGTAAGTACGACTAAGTACTTCTTTCTACCTATAATTAACAATGGAATATGTTCTCATTGTCAAAATCCACTGTAATGTAGCCATGCCATGTAGGTTTCATACCCAAGAGTTTGGATCTGTATGAGCTGATATTAACAGGGTTATATAACCTTGATAAAAAAAGAAGACATAAAAAACAAATCTCATTGCTAGGGAATATTTATTTATGACACAAACCCCTTTCATATACATACTATTCCGTAATGTAAGAAATGATAGCTGGCACACAATATGAATTTACACATCACCTTATCTCACCCACTTACATCATAGGAAATTAGGATAAAATAAAGGAAGAGCCTGTGTTGAATGCTCTTCATGAAATATAGATATTTGTAGACTAGATTCATTTATCCAAAAGAAGCTACTTTTTTTCTATGTCCGATTATCCGATATCATAGTAAATGGAAATCATTGTCAAATGATTATAAAATTGAATGTTTTAAATGTGATGTTACATGCAATAAACACTAACGGTGTATTGCAACTCCATCGGCAGTATTATTAAAATAAACATAATTAGTACCCTGTGTGTTAGTCTGTTGTAAATCTATGCCAAATTTCAGCAAGATCTGTTGATCCATTCTGAAGATAATTTCTAACAAACACCCATCCATCCATCTAAACTTTCGTATTTGTATTGTATTAGTAAGATTGTTTTTTGTAAAATAAAATATCAATTCTTTTAGAACATAATAACTTACCTCAATGATCCGGAGGACAGCCAAACTTTCACTCAGAATATCCCGTGGCATGTCGGTCGAACAAAAATCGCATATTTTCGTAATATTTTATGAAAACAATTAAAGCACCATATTTTCACATAGAAATTGCAAAACTATAATTAATATTATGTTGCACGAACTGCAAATAAGAAATACGAAGTGGAGATGCTCGGACAAATGAGGAGGTTATCTCTAAGTACACAAATATGATAACAATTAGTTTAATGAGTTGTAAAGGCCATCTTATATTTTAAGCTAACTCAAAAAAGTTGCCACAGATATATAAGTACTACTTGGTGATGACGATAGTTTTGATTGAATTTGAATTAATAGAAGCAAATTCAATTAGCAACCGAACAATCCCTATCGATTGGTGATATCAACTAAAAATATTCTTCGACACTGTTGTAACGATACAAAAAAAATTATCACACTTCATTGTTTAAATTATTTGCTTTGCGGGTAAAAATGTTGTACCATTATTAACTTTCTTATTTATGTGCAAATCTATTAATTTGATCTTAAAAATACTGCTAGCCTTGCTGCTAGGTGATAATTTGACAGATGCTTATGTCAAGTCAAAGTTACGAAAAGCGCTACAGAGACATCTGTAGCTTATTATCTGAAAAATTTCTATTATAACTACCATATACGTTAAAGAGTGGTAGATTTCGGTAGATTTATTATAAATTGAGTTTATCGACGTCGAAAACAAGAACTCTTCCCTATTTTTGGCAAATTTTATGCAAGTAACATGATCCTCATCATCTACCTCCCGTTAATACACTCTTGTAGTATTAGCGCACCAGATTTTCGTCCTCAGATTGATTTGTCTTCCATCATTTGGAAAACAATGAAAAAATGTAACTAATACCTCAATAAACTACCATTTGATTAAAATGATAAATCCTTACTTCCCGTTTGTCGATCCCATCTGAATTAAATTTGATATACAGTTTAGTCCCTGAATAAGGACATAAGCTACTTTTTAATGCGAAAAAAAGATTTTAAGAGGTTGAAAGGGGGTGATGGAAAGTTGTATGGAAGTATGAAAGAGAATATAAATGGGAAGTATTGTCATTTTTACAATAACAATATGGAATATGTGGTTTTATTTTATGTTTACATGTATTTTTATGTTAATGCTTTTTAAATCTAATAAGTTTTTTTTTCATTTTTATAAGTTTAAGTAAAATAATTAGTCTAAATAATTAAAATCCTACCCGAACAGAGTACATATATATTTTTGATGTTCGAAAATAAAGAATTTTAAATTTGCAAAGTATTTCGCGCGGACGAAGTCGGTGGCACAGGTAGTTTTTTAATATTCGGATTCTAATCAGTGGATAGAGATATAAACAGCAAAGGGCACAAAAAATTGTTCTATTTTATGATGCCACGATGCAACTATAGTATGTGTTATTGATTAAGCGAAAGAAGACCGGTTGGTCAGTTTTTTGTTTAATTTATAAATAAAATGACTGATTGAAAAAACAACTTAACAATTCCGAAAAACTGTTAACCTCTTCCTGAGTTCTGATGCTGAGCTAATCAATAAACATATAAGAAAAACAGTTCTGCGGTTAGGCGTGGGGCAAGGGACGAAGAGGAGGTCGAACAGTATCTAGACGTTCATTGGATGCCCTAGAAACAGTCGATCGATAAGAGAAAAATTAAAACTTCGTTGTGTTGTGTCCTATTACACCGTTTACCATAGATTATTTATTGCCTTCTGATATCGCCAAATAATTTTACCAGAAAACTTGAAATATACGAAATATAAAACAAATTCATTACATTTATCAAAAGCCAAAAATGGTCATAAAGTACATGTCAAAAAATACTACCAAATGGGTGAAAATTTATTTAACAATAAACATCGAAATTTGAACGACGCCGTTAAAATCGATTTTTTACACCATCGACATGCCTAGCTTTAAAATTTACTTCCGTTAAACGTTTAATCAACTTATGTCTAATAAATATATTTTAGGTAAAAACCATTTAATATAAAAATATTTGAAAACAAAAAAACGTAGTAAAATTAATAACTTTCGTTGGTACTTCAGTACTATAATATGGTATTCAATTATTTCAGATAAAATTATAAAGTACATGAATTGTTTGCTTGCTAAACTGTTATGGCGTTTGTGTTCTGATACACAACGCATATTCGTATCTGTATTTAATCGCGTAAAAAAACTGACTATAACATGATAAATTTTCTGCAAAAATATAGCGTTACTATGGCAAAAAGTTTTTTATAGATGTGAAGAGTGATCTGTGATTGCGTATCGTTATAGGTTATGTTTCCATCTTTTATTAGTATTTTGGGTGAGTTACAGTGAGACGGTGCGCCGACAGTGTTGTTTCCAAAAACATAGTGAAAAGTGATGTCTGTATGAGTTTCTCACGGATTTCAGATATTCAATCATGGTGGGAAGTACCAAGTATCGCGTATTTTTGTTCCTTGTTCAGGACTGCTTTCAATCTTCTAGATTTTGACATTGAAGTGAGTATTGAATATTGACCGCGACTATTGCGCCGAAGTTGAGGGATTTTTTTATTGCAAAATATTTTTGGTATGCTAATGGCGTATTAAATGGAATTCATTTTACAGGAATTAGAAGAGGCCTTGTTAACAGATGGCACAGAAGAAACTGCGAGTTCGCTTTTGACAGAGTTAATAGTGCGTTTGTTAAACGGCTGTTTCGGCAACAATGATATCTCTGCATTTAATTATCAGGTCACTATTGCTGATTTTTTTTCCCTTCCAATCTAATATTCAAATATAATTGATTCATGATACTAATTTCAATATTAATTCTAGATGTATTTGAGGCGCCTATTTAGGCGAAAATGTCAAGAAACTGGCCGGTATAATCCATTTAACACAGATATTGATTTCCAATTTTTGCCACTTCGGACAAAGGTGGAAATATTATATGCATTGTGTGATTTTCGCTTGGATGCCGAAGATGTCTTTGAGTTATTCAAGAACCTGGAGTCAGAGAGCTTAAGGGTTGAACCTCTTGGGTAAGATCATTTTTTTAATTTCATCTTTGTTTAAAACACTATATATGGTAACTGAACTGCCAGCGTAAAATAGAGTTATTAGTCATATAAGCAATTGACTTACAGATGGGACAATAATGATTCAGCATACTGGTACTTCTATGGGACAAGACTATATCGAGAAGATGTAATAAGGAAGCCAAAGTCAAGGGGCAGGAGGAAAAGAGGGCGTGAAGGCAGGAAGCGTGGCTGGTTTTACGGTGATGACTGGCTGGATGACGACGAGTCGGTGCGAGTGTGGCAAGTGGTGTGCTTCACCGAAAATGACTGGAACCACCTGACAGACAAGTTTAGGAGAGCAACCAGCAAGGTTGAGAAGGAGCTGTACCGCTCTCTATCACAGAATTTCCTACCAGAAATACCAAGACTCTTCCATGAAAAGGAGCGCTTGCAGAGGAAAAGGTAGGCATATGTTTGTTTAATATATGATGAAGGCTGATTATTAACTATAATATCTTTAAAATGCAGTTCTAGCATAAGTTACAAAAATAACCTCTTTTTTTCATAAATACCATAACAGTGTACATTTTTTGTGATATGTTTGTATCACTTAATTATAATGACATGAAATTGTTGTTACATATACAGCTAAATCTTTTATCCAATGGTAGAGAAAGTCACAGTTATTTGACACAATTATTTTGCTATTTTTTCTCATTTTTACATGATAATACTTCACAGTAATAACAATTGGCAAATAGACAGTTTTTGCTGTTCATTTTGTTTGTTTTATGGTAATAGCTGTTTATTTCTTGTTTTGTTTCAATTTTAATTAAAATACAAATGAAGTGAACAAAAATATAAATAATGCAATTCACTAGTATTGTATGTTTTGAAGTGACAGTACTTTTTATTTTACAAGATGGCAGTTATAAAGTAGACCATTTTATAAATCAATAGCTTATATCAAGATGTCTGACTGATTTTAATGTCAAATCATTTATTCCCCAGCTGGCTGACACACTAACAACTATTTTTTTTTATTACTACATTTGTGCAATTAAGCAAATATAAATGTATATTGATTAGCTCATTTTTATTTGTCCACTAGCTGTCGCCCGCGACTTCGGTCACATGGAATTAAAAACGAGTTAGTAACCAATACATTATTCCATATTATAATATATCTTGGTTCCAAATTTCATCCAGAATTGTTCAGCCAATATAGTTACATAGTAACTAACATTCATACATCTATGTAATCTTTGCATTTATTATAGAAGCACATAGAACTAAAATATATGAAACGAAATTGGATGCAGCTTAGATAAACCATGACTTTACAGATACATGATACTGAAGTATTAGTAATACTGTCTTTTGTGTGAGGCGATGTTTAACCAAATTCACTTGTAATGTATTCAGGAACGGAAATGTTATTCTTGTTTATCTGGAAGTGAGGCTATTTTGGTTGTTGTGAATGTGAAATAAGTCATTTGAATACGGTTCAAGAACCTTTATGCTCTTGCGTTGCTTTGTTATGAGATGTTGTTTGCTAGCAAAACATTTTGACAAACATTTATGCAGCTGTGCGAGTAAATTGTGTTTTATTCATTTCCTTGCAGTACCTTTAGATGCACCGTTGTAAACAGTTTGTTATTGTATTTATCGATCAATGCATCAAAATAAATTAAATTTAATTGAGAAATATATTAATTCTGATCAATCTTTCCATTTTAAAGTCATACATTTTTATTTCACGTTCTGAATGTTTGTTGCATTTTTAAATTTTACTATTTATTTTTTGAACCTTTTTATATACTGTAATATATTATTATCCCCTCATTTCTGTACTTGTTTTCCCTCTAATGTTATAAATGTTCTCTTCTAAAATTATTTTGTTTTAGTCCAACATACTTTATATTATATATACCTGTTTATATTTTTTTATGCTTATTAGCACAATATTTTTGTTTATGTTGCTCGCGTCAATATGCCTAAGTGTTCAATGTGTGATTGCTATCACGAATTTTGTTTTCTTTAAGCTTTTGTGAAATGAATGCGAACAACAACCAAAATAGTTACCTTTTTGAGGAATAAAAAACTGAAACAGTTTATTTTTTATTATATTGTAAACATTAACAATGATGTATGTATATGTATATTAAAGTAATTAATACTGTTGATAGTAAGCTGTATCCAATTAACTGTTATGAAGTCTTTTCTACCAGTTACCTGCTAAAATGATACAATTATTTACTCTCATTTAATATACAAAGTATTATGCATTTAGTAAATGCAAATGTATGAGATGTGCTATTTATACTAGTTTTTGATATTTGTAAGAAAATTTAAAAAGAAAAGTAAAATCTACAGATATCTATTGTACCCCTTTAAGGTTGTTAGAGGTCACGCCAAGGCGTACATCCAGCCGCGTGCTGCAGAAGATTGAGGAGAAGGAGAGAGAGCGGAAGCGCAGCCTCCATGAGGCGACAGAGAACGAAGCAAAGAAACAAAGTGCACAGCTCGCGCGGGACACCAGGGCCCGGAGGAGGGAACGACTGAGGTGAGTATATTTCATAATGATACTAGCAAATTGAAAATATAATTATTATTTTTAATTTGATTATTAATTCAAAATACATGAATAATCACTAGTTTGTAACAACTCTAGGTTAGGCAGAAATAATAGGTGATTGGATTTAACTGTAATAAATATTAAATAATACACTTTCATCATATAAATTAAATGCTGCAAAAGGATAGG